AGACGCGCGCTTGTATCGCTGCTAAAAGTCGCAGTGTGTGATCACTCTAAAGTTGCTGGTGAAACTATAGGCACATGGGCTCTGAGTGGTAATTTCAATGTTATAGGTAGGCGTGTCGTATACCGGTTGTTACTACTACGTAAAAGAATTTTATTGCAGCAAAAATAACTCGTAAAATAAGTATACCGACATCTCTTATCTTAAAAGATTGATATACGAGTATTATCTGTACCACAACAATAATACATTTTTAACCCGACTTCAAAAAAAGGAGGAAGTTCTCAATTCGACTGTGTTTTTTTGTACGTATGTTACGCTATAATTCTGCATTTGTTTGAACTGATTTTGATGATTCTTTTGTTGGAAAGAGGGTACCTCAGAAGTGATGGATGAATGATTTTTGAGGTCGGTTTTTTAGTACTCTGTACTGAGATTGTAAATGTAATAAACTGAATGAAAACTATAATTTATAATAATTTTTATGAGAATATTTATTGTTCGCCATTATTGGTGATTTTTTGTGATACCATTATTATCTACTGTACACAAAATTATTTACGTTGAAATCGTACAAATAAACATTATCATTTCATTGCATTATCACCTGCCGTTGTTCGTCCAATCATTTTATATAATATAAAAATTCTATCATTTTTAAATAATTGATATAAACAGCTGGACAGCTGTTCAACAAACATACCTAAAAACCATCTCGATTAAATTAACCTTCAAATAAAACACATTATGACTACATTATTATTTACACATATTATCTGCGACGTGTGACGCAACGTGGGTGTCCGGTAGCCGGCCTCGGAAACGTCGGTACACAACACTCTTCGGCCAAAACTCATCCTCCATGAAGGTCGACAGTTGTTGAGTTAGTACTCTCACCACAAAAGAAAAAAAATCACGTTTGGCGGGACCCCAACTGCTCGACCCTTATGGTAGCATTGACTTGCACTCGTATATACGCCACAATATCCACCTTTTTGAAACCGGCTTCGTTGTACTGGTCAACACGTCTCGGTGATGCTGACGACCATCACAATAATACCTAGTCTCAATTTCCTTATATTATTAGTACCGGAGTAGTTTATACTAGGATGTATTTTACCGGAAGTGCGATATATGTTTCAGTTACTTACAAACCATACATACAAAGATGCATTTACATATTTGCCAAAAAGACTACAGTTCACACACATACGTGGTATATTATTTGACGACCTCTGTGGTTGTCTCGGGATTGATCCCCGGTGGGATCGATAGATTTATACATATATATATTATATAGATAGATTTATACCCGGTTCCCTGAGATCGTTATCAATTTAGGAAAGTTCATTCCCTAAATCGGTCCTGCCGGGAGTTACATCCAGACCTTTTCATCTAGATTCAAAATTCAGCATGTTAACTACTAGACGATCGAGGTCATCATGTCAATATTTTATCTGAACTGTTCTAAAGAGAAAAGATAATATTTGTTTTGCTTATTTGTTACGTGAATACTTTGTAATTTATCTAAATTCATCCTTTTAGATAATCTGACGGCTGATTATTATTGTTTTTAACTGACTTGAAGAAAAGGTGGTCGTTGCCAATTAGATTTTTTGTGTGTATCTATGTTACGCGCCTACTCCTACTTTTGTGAATCGATTTCGTTGATTCTTTTTTGTTGGAAAGGTGGTACGTCAATAGATTCACATTTGAACAAAATATTTCACCTCTAATTGTGGCAAATCAGGGGATGAATCTGGTTTTTGAATTTTACCCTTTCCGTTAACCGATTTCGATAAAACTGTGCAAATACATGTAATTCCACATAACTTTCGAGGTCGTTTTTTTGTCTTTCTAAAAAAAGTTATAAATTATTCAGACGCAAAATTACTTAAAAATAATGGGTTCATACATTTAAAACCAATTACAGTTCTTAGCGAATGAAAATGCCTGGCGTGACAATGAAACATGGTAGCCGTGATTACTACTATATAATATATACATAATTTAATATTTTTACGATAGGTACATAGTTTTGTAATATAGGAACACTTGTGCTACTTTAATTTACATATTAACAAAATATTATAAAAGATACAACATTCTACTATTTGAAGTTCAAAGTTTGAGTGTTATGGTCATTGACTTACAATTATATGGACGTCGGGTCCGCGCTAAAAAGTGTCCGAACTTATAGGGCGTTAAAATCGTATACAGAGCGTCATTCACGCTTTAGTCTTCGTTTGTTTGACTGACAGCGAAGCAAGCAAAATTAGACAATACTGCGATGACATTACAATTTTTTAATTAGCTTTTTCATATTCCTTTACATGTCACTACGCTTAAATAGGTTGACTTGGGATATTTTTTTTGTGGTTTTTGTATTAGACCCGTTGTCTATTTATTTGTTAGTCAATGGTTATGGTAGAGAAATTGCTCCATTCAAAACCCAGCCTATTTAACTTCTTTGATTGGTTTTCCGCCTTCAATAAGCCACGCGGACCCACTTTCTTTTTCAAATATCTCTACGGAGGCGTTGCCAACAGGATCTGCCTTCTGCCAAGCCTGGCCTTTCAGGAACACAAAGAAATCTATTTGCATCTGTTCGTCTTTGTGAGTCTTCGGATGCGAAGTCAGCTTCGTTTCCGTGAATCCTGGGCAGATTGCTACCACCTTCACTCCAGTTCTCTCGAAATTATACTTATGTCCTAATGATCGCGTGAATCCCATGACTGCAAATTTTGACGCTTGATAAACAGGAAGAAACTGGTCAACTCTGTATCCATAAATCGACGCCAAGTTGATAATAGTACCACCTTTACCGCCTTTGTCTTTTCTCATATGCTCCCAGAACTTAAGAGACCATTCGATGACCGCAGTGACATTTATTTCAATAGTCTTCCTTGCTGATGTATCATCCAGGATTCCAGCATTATTAACAAGAATATCAACGTACTTGAATGTATCAAAAATGGTCGTGGATACTTCTTCCAAATCTGTAGTTACATTACACTTCATAAAAATCGCTTTTCTGGGACCATGTTTAACAGTCAATGTTTCGACAGCTTCAGCACCTTGGGTTTCGTTGATATCTAAAATAACTGCTACTTTTGCTCCTTTATCTAGAAATTTGTCAGCTATTTCATAGCCGATACCAACTGCACCACCAGTGATGACTATAACTTTGTTTTTAATATTGTAAGTCATGTTTCTAGATTCAGTTGCTAACATTTAATGACATATAGAGTTCAAGAGATTAGTATTTAAGCGGTAGACAGAGGTCACGTTTAATTAGATGTTTGTTTTTCTCCTTCATTATTAGCTATTACCGCTGAATTATTTTCGCGTTATAAACAATAATTTATGTTGGGTGGTCCGATCTTATCTCCTTGTATATTCTGTGTTATAATGTGTACATAAATATCAATCATCATTTGAAATCTAAAATTGTAAATTTATAATCTTAATACCTAGTTTTTTTAAGCCTCTTTTTCCGTTTGGCGATGTACTTTTTTCGTTTAAATCTAGATAAATATGATTTACATCACTGTGAACGCGTTTGTGTTTGATTTTATCAAAAACAAGTCTTATGTTGTCCGCGTGACAGGATATCCGTGTTTTACGTTTTATCAAATAAACTAGGACTTTAATATCTACGCTGGAAAGCGATCTTGTCGTATCTCGAAAAATAGCACAATGAGTTTTTTATATATTTGGAATCAGAAAAAAATTGCACATTTTTTATTCATAATAATTCTTTCTTCTACTTTTATTTAAAAATATTGCAACAACTTATTAATTAAACAAACGCTAAACTAACTCAATAAATCCAAGTAATTATATCTTAATTTAAATCGTTTCACCAGACAAAATTTTGCTAACGTTCCACCATTAGCTCAAAATCGCATTAAAACGTAACCAAAATTATAATTTATAACATAACAACAACTATAAATACTTGATAGGTGCTAAATATAGCATTAGCATTTAGCGTACTCAAGCGTGAAATTTAACATCAATAAACCAATCAGCTATTTCACGTTTCGCACCAAATGTTAAATGCTACAAATAATATGTGAAAGTATTTTACGTTATAATTGTTTCAACCAATGACAAGAGTCCCAATTTGATTAATTAGCTCCCCATTTTCACGTAGAATATAGCGCCATCTAAGAAATATTAAGGGAGATACATTTCAGGAACTGAGAAATTTTCCTCAGGGACTTGAAATAGTTTTTGATAGATGCAGGCATGAGGATTCTTCCGATCTTGTCTGTAACACGACTCACGTAAGTTAAAATGGCAGATTTTCGCTCGACTGTTGGTAGTTTCACACGAGGCCTGCGGCATTGGCATGGAATCTTCAACTAATTCGTATGTAGGACTTGCTTTGTGCTGAAGTTCCCCTGCCAGATGATTACTGTCGCAGATACCATGAGCTCTCTGAAACAAAGATTTGCTAACTGGCTAGGATGGTGACGGGAATTACCATTGAGGTACCTATCCGTATGGGATTTCTTTCGAAATATAGTATGGCCTAAAGTGTTATTAGGATTTCTTTTAATTAAAATATCTAAGAAAGCTAAAGTACCACAATTCTGTTGTTCCATAATAAATTGGATTTAATCCTATTATTTTTACCTTATTTTTTTACACATTCATACATTCACGTTCTTAATTGAATATTAAACAAAAATATTAGAAATTGTTTGTCTCTATAAACATATTTTATAAATGTATTTATGTGATATATTAAATATTTATACATGGTGTAACAGAAAGGTGCAATGAGATTTGTTTGCTGTTTTGTATCTAACAGAGATCCTATACTAGTTGTCAGATCTGAGTTCGAGCTTTTAAATGTTGCCTTAAAAACATAAGATTATACATATTTCATCGATATCTAGACAACGACTTTAATCACATCACTTGAGAGATCCTTCATTAGGTCATATGTTTTGTTATTTATTTACTTAGAATAGTTCTATGCACACACACTCGGAAATATTGTAGCGTACTTTATGGTAAGCAATATTGAAAGCAAATATTTTATTTAGTAGCAGTAGCACTCCTTGTGAAAGAGTTCGTCCAGGTAAGACCTGTCACCTTACCTATTTCTGCCGCAAGCTAGTAATGGGAGCATTACTGCGTTCCGGTTTTGAAGGGTGCTGGTTGAAATTACGGGCTCATGGGACTTATCAATTTATGTCTCAGATCTTTGCAATTTAAAACTCTGACTGGCACTGCAAACTGTTATGGAAAATCATTTCGCTTTCCACCAGGCACATGATTTGTTCGTTTCTGTACCTGAAAAAAAAAAACATATTCTCAAGATCGAAATCAGGCGGCATGAACTAGGTATGAAAGGTAGTAGGAATGACTTTGGAGACTTATTTTCATTTCACCATTTATTATTTTACCTATCTCGTACTTAAAATTGATAGAATTATAATATTGAATCCAAAGTTTCATTTCCACACATGTAGGTCCTGTCGTGCCTGTAAACCACCTGGCAGACATAACTGGATAGACCATAGGCAAATTCAAAAAGGGCACCGCCAATAAGGAAACAGAAAAAGAAAAAAAGAAGAATATTTCTTTTCCGTAGGCTTTTTTCTTTTTTCATGGCTTTTCGCGGTTAGCGTTTATATACTAATTGTTTGTTTATTTTATAGTTCCTCGCTTGATTCTTTAAATGATTTTTTTTAAATTCATATATTGGTAATTAACCATTTTAATTAATGTACCTATATTATCATCGTACTCACATTTACAAGAATAGTTTATCAAGGCTGTTAAAGTTCACAAATGTTAGATAACTAACTTCGTATCTGAAATCATAAGTAGCTCTGCTAAGAAAGTCAGATTTTAGTTACTGGAGTCAAGTGACACAAGTAATAGTCTATAATGGAGAGAGATTTAAAAAATAAAGTAGTTATAGTCACTGGAGGAGCAGATGGCATAGGATATGCAATTTGCGAGAAATTCTTAAAAAGTGGAGCAAAAGCAGTTATAATTGTAGACATAGATGATAAAAAAGGTTCTAAAGCTGTCAAAAATCTTTCAAAACTTGGAAATAAATCGGTTTTCATCAAATGTGATGTGACTAAAGATTTGGAAGAAGTTTTCAAGAAGATTCTAGAACAACATAATGCTGTTGATGTTTTAGTAAATAATGCTGGTATTGTTGATGAAGTTTGTCCGAAAAGAACACTTGGACTCAACACAGTGGCTCTTATAGAATGGTCTATGAAATTGTATGAGCATATGAGAAAAGATAAAGGAGGTAAAGGCGGGACAATTGTGAACATAGCGTCCATGTATGGCGTCGTAGTGGATCCATTTCAGCCAATTTATAAAGCGTCAAAGTACGGCGTTATTGGCTTCACCAGGACTTTGGGCCATGAGTTGAATTTTGAAAAATTTGGTGTTAGAGTTGTTGCGGTTTGTCCAGGGTTTACAGAAACAGCATTAACCGCAAGGCTTCCGGAGCAAGAAATGCTTCTAGATGTAAAAGAAGAGCTAAATGAAGTTATTGCAAAGATGCCATGGCAGAAACCTGACGCTGTAGGGAGAGCTACGGTGGAAATATTTGAAAAAGCTGACAGTGGTACAGTTTGGAGTATTATAGGCGATGGTCCAGTGGATTTGATACCAGGTTGTGAAATATCTATGTAGATACCAAGAAATTCTGGACATGACACGTAATACGTTATACATATATTGGTAATAAAAATTCTTTATTCCACAAAGGAAATACACATAAAACACAAGTTACAAAGTACATATATTATACAACGGTGAGCTTATCTCTTGAAGATATCTCTTCCAGGTAACCCTAGCCATGGTGTAAAAATGAAGTTTGCGATATTAATTACTGTACAATAAAATTAAAATTTAAATGTGAATAAAACATATACATACAGAATGCTTTATTTCTCTCAGAAAGGTCTATAAGCATGTTATAGTAAGTATTTCTTGTAATAACAAGTTCCTTCCTTTTTTTTTTGCCGGGGGCAAATCTTTATGGGGGGACTCTCCCTCCAGACTAAGGGCCTACCCCACTAAAACCCCCCCGGGTTTCCCTCTCGCCGGTTGAGTCGGCGCCGTGGGATCGGTGAACATTCACCACGACGCCGCCCGGCCGCCCTAGCTTGCGCCAGGGCTCCCGCGCCAACGGAGGGGCGAGTCGGTTGTCCTCCGACCCGCTCCCCCAGACGAGTGAGGCCGTGCAATGCAGGCTCCGGAGTCCCTGTCCAGAGCCCGCTGGCCCCACTAGGGGATCAGGCGAGCAGCGAACTGCCTTCGCCTTCTCCCCGTACGTCTGCGCCGAAGCGGGTGCGCGTCCGCCGCGTCCTCGCGCACCCGCTCCGCGGCCTCCTTTTGCGATATAACCTCTGCGCAAAAGGAGGCCACCGCCTCCCAGGACTCCTCGCTATCGAGCATGGCGGCAACCACGCTCGGCAGCGAGAGGTCCTACCCTACAGTCCCCGTCAGAGTGCGGCGCTGCTCATCCCACCGGCTGCACACCTCTAGGGTGTGCTGCGCGGTGTCATCCGCAGCGCCGCACTCGTGGCACGACGGGGACGGTTCCCTCCTCGCCACCTTGTACATGCAGTGACCGAAACTCCCGTGTCCAGTCAGCACTTGCACAAGGTGGTACGACAGTGGCCCGTGGGACCGGTTTACCCACTCTACGAGGACAGGGCGGATCGCCCCTATGGTACGAGCGCCATAGGGGGGATCCGCCAAGCCCTCTTTCCACCGGTCCCGCATGCGCTGCGCCGCGAGGCGGCGCTCCCGCTCGACCTCTTGGGGAGCAGGGCGCTCGCCTCGGACCCTCATTCCCCGCCGGTAGGCGTGGACCTCCGCCAGGACCTCGGCTTCGAGGTCCCACGGCGGAGTACCGGCGAGGACGCATGCGGCAGCGCAGGCCACCGTCATGTACGCCCTGCACATTCGCAGGGCGAGCACCCGCTGGGGGTCCTACGCCCCCGCCTACCATAACCTTTCCAAAAACAATCTTATTTCAATGTAAGCTTAAAGTAAGCTTATTGTAATATTACTCATATTCGTACCATGACGAACCTGTCAACCAAGTAATGTATTATAGCAAAAGCGATTAAAAGAACGAATGATTTTCCAATATAGTCTATTCTTTACAAAAACTACTACTACTAGAACTATACATATAATGCCTTCTCTTTCCTTTTTGAATCGCCTTATCGTAGTATAATGTATAAGTACTTAATGTCATTTACATTCAGAGAATTTTGACTGTTAAAAAAAGAAAACTATGTAATAATAAAATCTAAATTACAATGTTTTCAATAATTATTCCGCATTTTCATGAAGAAAAATAAATAAAACAAAATGAGTCTTGATAGTCACGTTGTGAGTTCGGAACAGAAGTCTAGTGTCAACTGTTAGTTTCGCCAAGGAGCATATAGATGACGCTATTATAATTTTACGAAATAAACATTGCGTATTTTTATTTAACGATAAAATATTTCCTACTTAATAAAAAATAAACAAAATATTGAAGAGATATGTGCAAATAAATAAGTTCAACTTAACTTTTAATCATTACAAATCAATGTTAAGACAATAAAACTGAAAATATTATTGTTTCCATTGCATACATGTAACTATTTTAAGATTGCTGAATTTGACATAAGAGCAATATTACTTTAATGTTAAAGTCGCGTCATAGTACGAACTGAGTGAATGCATAGTCACAAAGCTGCCAATAAAACATCATAGTTTTAACATTACAATAAGCTTACTTTAAGCGCGTTATGGTACGAAAAGTCAATATAAGGTTAAAGTAATGTTGTTTTAAGAGGTTGTGGTAGGCCCCCTGGAGTCTACTAGGTTGGGGGATCTGTGTAGCAGATCACCAGGCTGCAGGCAAATGATAATTATATATACATACATACATACAAGACAGACACACATCTCGACATGAAGTTTATATACATAAATACATACATAAGCAGAATATATATGGTAATGTAAACAAATTACTTGTTTATATCTCTGTATGTTACCGGTTAACTATCTAACTAACTACTCATTTAATTTGTGTTAACTTTACAATATATCAGACTAAGGCGGATATTCAGTTTGTATGATTTGCACTTTGCACCCTACATAATCACCGCGCAAAAATAAAAACGCGTTCCTGTGTAAGTTGTGTAATAGTTTAATGTTTTTTGTTTTTTTAAATAAAAAAGCTCCTTGATGAAAGACTATATTTATTTTTTACAAAAATGTACCTAAAAGGTTTTTGATATACAGTGTGTTTTTTTTTAACAGCCACTGTATGGAGAAATTCGAAACTATAGAGGATTTCAATAGATTCGACTTTTTGCATATTTTGGTGATGAGTTTTGGGTTAGAGTTGTGAGTAAAAAATATGGTTTGGTAAAACACTACAAATTAATTCCAAGAAGAATATGTAAACGGCAAAAAGAATATATAAAAAATCAATATGTTTATGATATGTGTATGTTATTTGATCACCAAAATTGAAAGTTTCCACCAAAATTAAGATATTGGAAAAAAAATACAAATTGAATCAGAAAAAAAAGCTTATTAACCGTGTAATTATATGTTGACCGTTACATATCTACAAATTAAAGGAAGTAGACGTAGATATATATTTTAATCATTGACTTACAATTATATGGACGTCGGGTCCGCGCTAAAAAGTGTCCGCACTTTTAAGGCGCTAAAATCGTATACAGAGCGCGACACTCCGCTTTAGTCTTCATTTGTTCTACTGACAGCGCGATACTGCGATGACATTACAATTTAAATTTCGAATAGGTTGACTTGGGACATTTTTTTCGTGGTTTTTGTATTAGATCCATCGTCCATTTATTTGTAAGTCAATGATTTTAATAGAAAATCTATTTGCTAAAAATATTTTTGAAAAATGAAACAAAAATAATATTCCTTCTGATTTTTCGCATATTTTCACCATAGCAGGATTTATAATTGTATTACATATGTCCTTAAAGCTTTTAACTTGGGAAAATTTAATCAAACATATGCCGTCAAAATCGACAAGATGCAAAGTGATTAATTAATTTTCCTTCACTGTCGGCGCGAGCCCCTTTGTTACGGCCCCTCCTGGACTCTGTTACATATGTATAATATTACGAGTATATTTGTCATTTTAAATACAGTTACAATTCTAGGGTTTTAAAATTTTCCTACTATGACAAATTTGCAATTGAGATTTGAAACAATTAAGTAGAATAAATGGATTTGTTGAGATGTATGCGCCACAATTTAGCTGTTGTTGCTCGCGGGGTAGCAGTTATTTTAACACTCAATTATATCTAGCAGATTTCGTGGACAACGATGGAGTGCGACATAGATTTTTGGTTTAAAAAAAGTAGATTCATAAAAAGTTGAATACAAGACCATGAGAAGCTGTATATAATTTACATACCTCAATAATTTTCTTTAGTGCACTGATCGATGGAGCCAGCAGCACCCTGTCACGAAACAACCCACATGAGTCCTTAATTCATCGATTAATGCATTTATATTCAATTCTTTTTTCTATACAAAAAAATAAGTGGGCATTTGACATCCATCTCACCTGATGTAAAGTGACGATCAGATCGACGACGTGGCATGCACACCTAAATAATTCCTATTCAATCTCGTCTTGATTCTGTCCAAGTTCTAGCTTTCCGGAAATAAGTCCGCAGGCAGGGAATTACCACAACATAGGCGTGGAACCCCAGTCTATGTTCCCGATGACGGAAAGGGGAAGGCGGACTCAAATTATGCATTTCCATCGCACACTCGTCGTGATATAACCTGTAGAATACCGATAAGCAGGCAAGTTTACGGCGGTGTTCAAGACCCTGCAGCTTCGTCTCTACTGATTCCGAGTCACATAATAGCGTCTTGGTACTCTTGTCTATTGAATCCAAGGTGGCCAGTTGGTATTTAGCAGAGCCATCCCATAAATAGCTGCAGTACCGCGTACACGTGCGGACTTGTGCTTGGTACAGTTGAAGCAACTGTCCCGGTGTGAAATAACGCCTCACTTTGTAAAGGATGCCAAGATTCTTAGGGACATTTTTGGCCATGGATTCAATGTATCTGCTGAAGTTCAGATTGGATAACACTTCCATTCTAAGCAACTGGAGACGGTCGGCTATCCGTATGGATATATCACGAAAAGTCGGAGTCGGTCAACGCGACTCCGTTTTGTGGAGATAGATACGCCTGCGTTTTGGTTGGCATTACATTTGACAAGATTGGCATTGCCCCAATTAGAGACTGTTTTAAGTGACAAATTCAAACGACTAACCATGGACTCTAGACAAGACTGGATTTCTTCTTCACTGATCCATGCATTGGTTAAGTACCTGTCCACGACTGAGTTGTCATTAGCCTACCTAAAGGCCCTGGAATTAACATATCATTGATATGCAGCAGAAAAAGAGTAACAGACAGCAGGAAATCCTGAGGAGCCATCTATCGTCTGATGGTCGGAAAAGTAGCCTTGTAAGACCACTTGTATCGAACGTTCACACAAGAAATCCGAAATCCAATTGCAAAGGTCAGTGGGAAGCCCAACTTAGGCGATGTTAATCCCCCCCCCCCCAACTTCGCATTCCAAGGTATATGGCTCAGAAAATTTGTTAGCCCATCGTACAACAGTAGTTTGATTTTGGTACCAATACTTAAAAACATTCGTCAGGCGTGTTAACGTTATGTCTGTCACTATTTTTCATAAAAAAATTACTATTCTTCTCAACATAAATTACATTTTCTAAATATAAATGTACTATGATGCTAGTGTAACAATGTTAATTTCTTTACACTTATCTCTCAAAGTCACTCTGAGGCCCAGATTGTAAATAGACCTAACAACACGTTTTTACAGGACAAAAATTCTGTTTATATCGGCGGCATTACCCCAACCTAGTAGCGGTAGTACTAATATAGTAGTTAATGTTATAATCTTCAATGTTAGCAAGAGATATTGCTATTAACATTGCAAATGTACATAACTTAGACAAAGTCATAGGTACTCTATTATGCCACAGGGGTATGAACCGTCAACATCTCAATTGCGAGGCAACCGTCCTCCCAACGGGCTAGTATTTACTATAGTGTTTATTGTTGTATTTATGGTTGTTTGAAATTCAAATTCAGAATTGTTAAGCATTTCCATTTTATAATCACACTCTCGTAATCGAGATACCAGCGCGATGCTGGTATAAAAATATCAGTAAGTAGTGCTTATAACAAAGGTTACCTACTTCTGTATGTCTCCAAAATACTGTTAGAAATGGATAATTAGTCTATTTTATCGATTGAAAGACTATAATGCTCAACTGTTTAGATTATGAGTTAAGGCCCACCTGACATCATTTTATGTTACTGGTATTATTTTTTTATTATCTTGGCCACGTCCTGGTGCACTACGTTGGGTAAATAATTACAAGGTAGTGAAGCAGGTACTCAAGTGCAAACCACCTTATCCCGCTACAATTAAATGAATTATTAATTTAATAGTCTAATGAAGAGAAGGTTGTTGAGGTTGTCAGGTTTCTGCAGTGTCTCAGCCATGTTCGTTGATGCGCGCGTAGACATTTCATTGATGTACTATGTAAAAAGTCGGCATAGTTACTGAACAGAATACGTGTTAGCCCTAACAGCCTCCTGAAGATCATTGCAGAGGGGAGTGACTTCCCAATATCGCAGCTATTAACATCTGTTACGAAGTCCCTGGTAGAATATAAGTACTAACATTGTTTTAAGTCTGTACTAACATTTTTACGGATCTCAATTTTCTGTTCATAAAAGATAATTAATAATAGGGGTTAAAGTATGAAATTGCCGATTTGTACTGAAAATCTAAATTGTTTATTTTTTAAATTTTTAACAAATTTATTTAATCAAAATAGTTGCCATTATTGTCTATACATTGCTGCCATTTAATGGGAAGGTTATTAATGCCTTTGCGATAGAACTCCGACGATCTAGACTGCACAAACTGTGTGAAAGCATTTTGTACAGCCTCCTGGGAAGAAAACTTCTTGTCACGTAAATAATTGTCCAAATCACGAAAAAAATGGTAGTCCGTTGGAGCAAGGTCTGGTAAATACGGAGGATGACGAATGGTTTCTAACTGCAGTTCCTGAAGGGTCAAAATGGTTTCTCGTGCTGTGTGAGGTCTCGCGTTGTCGTGGAGCAATAATGGTGAAGATCGATTCATGAGTCGGGGCTGTTTTACTGCTAGTTTTGTCAACATGGTTCGGAGTTCGGCACAATAGACATCTGCCGTTATTGCTTGACCAGATCGGAGAAAACTATAGTGATTAACACCATGCTGAGACCACCAAACAGTTACCATTACCTTTTTATTGGTAAGTTTTGCTTTAGGACACTGTTGTGACATTTGACCTGGGGTCAGCCATTGCATTTTTCTTTTCCGGTTATCATAAAGAATCCACTTTTCATCACATGTTACAATTCGATCCAATATTCCTTCATTTCTGTACCGGTTCAACAAGGCAACACAAGTTTCAACACGCGTTTCTTTCTGCAGATCAGTCAAATCATGAGGCACCCATTTTTCGTATTTTTTTATTTTATTGATTTGACGCAAGTGAGTCAATATTGTGGGTAAGGTAACGTTAAACCATGCCGCTAATTCCTGGGTAGTTTGACTAGGATCGGCTTCCACTATCTCTCTTAATTCATCGTTATTCACCTGTGTGGGCGGTCTTCCTCGTGGCTCGTTCTTTAAGTCGAAATTTCCATCACGAAAGCGTTTAAACCAAAATCGCACGGTGCGTTCATTAGTAGACCCCTCTCCAAACGCAGCATTGATATTGCGGGCTGTTTCTGCCGCGTTAGTTCCGCGTCGGAACTCGTATTCAAAAATCACTCGAATTTTCGCAGTATCCATCTTTCTTGTCTAAATTGAATAACAAAAACAATTGAAAGTCGATATTCAAATGTTTCAAATTAAAAAAAAAAATCACAGAAACCATTTGAAAAAAGTTTCATTCGAAAACCTCAAACCATGAAGATTCTATGAAAATTCAAAGAACCTATTGCAATAAAACGGCAATTTCATACTTCAACCCCTAATAATAATATGAGTAATACAAATAAACAAGCTGTTCTTGATAGTCATCTTCACAAAGACACAAATTCATTTAGGGGGCAATGCCCTTCTACAATAAGAGTTCGGTTGATATTTAAAATTTGCCATTTACGAGGTTTAAAACTATAGTGAAACAAAAACTTTATTCTAATCATTGACTTACAAATAAATGGACGACGGGTCAAATACAAAAACCACGAAAAAAATGTCCCAAGTCAACCTATTTAAACGTAGTGACATGTAAAGGAATATGAAGAAGCTAAAACGTTGAATTTAAATTGTAATGTCATCGCAGTACTGTCTAATTTTGCTTGCTTCGCTGTCAGTCGAACAAACGAAGACTAAAGCGTGAATGACGCTCTGCATACGATGTTAACGCCCTATAAGTTCGGACACTTTTTAGCGCGGACCCGACGTCCATATAATTGTAAGTCAATGATTCTAATGGTCATTTATACGGATCCAGCATACTTGGATGACAAAAATCTGCCATAGTGACCCATTTAGCTCTTGCAGGCAATCTGATGAAACGTGTTCTATTATGTTTGAAATAAATATTGTAATGATAAATGTATTCAAATGTATATTTACAACGAGCCTCTGGAGTTCCTTGATCATTCTTCTCAGGGGAATCTGCTATACGAATGAGCAGTAGAGTTTACTCAACGTGACGATTTCAAGTGTAACGATATAAATATGGAAGAGGAAAAAGAGTAAATATGAAATATAAATTATTTGAAATTGAGTTTCAGAAAAACAGCCGAATACTCTACCATTTTTAAATACAAATGAATTGAACTTCAAATTTTCTGCCATCATCGACCAACTTGAAACCAAGTGTTTATGTAAACACGAACATAGTATGTGCTGTGATCGATCTAAGTATCGATAACAATTGATTCTCGTAAGTTTTAAAATTAAATTATTTTAGATAAAATATTTAGCAAAAACAAATGTCGTAACTCTTTAAGACATGCAATTGCCAGTGTACACTTTACACTCTGTATACATTTTCTATTTCACCCATTTTATATTTATAGAATTCGATTTATACAAATTGTTCTCAGACTTTTAAAGTACGATATAATATTTTTAGGAAGTATGGTATGGTACGGTGTAACGGGCTAGTGTCTGCAGCTCGATGTCTACTCAGCGTCTATTGCATTTTGTGGATACAGGATCCTATCATGACAATCGAGGTCTTTCAGGAATCTCAGCATCCACCTGGTTCTGCTGAAGATTTTCGGCACTCTAATAAGATATTTCGCCCTGTAGTTGACCACGATGGAGCTATGTAAAAGGATAAACTCTGCATAAAGAGCTGTCCGTGATACCTAAATTGAAAAAAGGTGTTTATTATATGGACCATGGTCCATTAAAACGGCAGCCGTGCCGTGCAGTTAGAGTGCATGGGTCTTACATTTTGGCTTTAAGAAATTTTCGGGATAGACAGGTGTTGAGCATTGGGAGGAATATAGATTAGGGAATACGTAAGGACTGACAAAGACGGCAAATGTGAAAATTATGACCATAGGTTCTATTTAAGGATATAAGCTGATACAGTCAGTAGGTATCTTTTTACAATCTCTCAATAATAGCTGTTACGGTATTCAAGAAGTTATTAAGATATGAGTACAACTTAAAAAGTTATTGGCGTGAGAGTGATTGATGTGTATCCCGGTTTTACTGATAAAAATGCAAGAAAGTTCTTGAAGCTGTCAGATCTGAAATCTACGATCTTACGGGTCTTAAAGGTTGCAAAAAGTTAACAGTATTACAGCCTGAATGATTCATGGAGGCCTATAGAACATATTTCAGAAATTAGTAAATTGATTTTTTTAATTCATTCATCATGTGTCGAAAATTAATCATATTAATAATGATTGTACCTATTTTATTATCATATTCAAAAATATACAAGAGTTATCAAGGCTGTTAGAGTTCACGAATGTTAGATAACCACAATCGTACCGTTAAATCATAACTATATGCTCTGCTAAAAAAAATTAGAGTTTAGTTATTGGTGTCAAGTGATACAAGTAATAGTCTATAATGGAGAGAGATTTGAAAAATAAAGTCGTTATAGTCACTGGAGGAGCAGATGGCATAGGATATGCAATTTGCGAGAAATTCTTAAAAAGTGGAGCAAAAGCGGTTATAATCGTAGACATAGATGATAAAAAAGGTTCCGAAGCTATTAAGAATCTTTCAAAATTTGGAAATAAATCGGTTTTCGTTAAATGTGATGTGACTAAAGATTTGGAAGAAGTTCTCAAGAAGATTCTAGAACAACATAATACTGTTGATGTTTTAGTGAATAATGCTGGTGTTGTTGATGAAGTTTGCCCGAAAAGAACACTTGGACTCAACACAGTGGCTCTTATAGAATGGTCTATGAAATTGTATGAGCATATGAGAAAAGATAAAGGAGGTAATGGCGGGACAATTGTGAACATAGCGTCTGTATATGGCGTCGTAGTGGATCCATTTCAGCCAATTTATAAAGCGTCAAAGTACGGCGTTATTGGCTTCACCAGGACTTTGGGCCATGAGTTGAATTTTGAAAAATTTGGTGTTAGAGTTGTTGCGGTATGTCCAGGGTTTACAGAAACGGCATTAGGTGCAAGGCTTATAGAACAGGAAATGCTTCTAGACGTACGAAAAGAGCTGAATGATTTAATAGCAAAGATGCCATGGCAGAAACCTGACGCTGTTGGGAGAGCTACGGTGGAAATATTTGAAAAAGCTGACAGCGGTACAGCTTGGAGTATTATAGGCGATGGTCCAGTGGATTTGATACCAGGTTGTGAAATATCTATGTAGATATCAAGAAATAATGGACATTACACGTTATATGTCATACATATTTACATTTGTAACAATATATCAAACTAAAGCGGATAATATACGATCGTGGATGTTTTATTTTCTATAAACTTGAATTACACTTTGCACCCCATACGGGCCCTGCGAGGCAAGGCGCTAATCGCTGCACAACGATAAAAACGCGCCCGTGTGGGTAAAATTTTAATTTATAAAATTTAATGAATAAAAGTTTCTTTTATTGCAAAAGTATACTTGAAAAGTTTTTAATATATAATATGATTTTTTGTCAATTTGTGAAGCTGGAAGAATGCTTTTTAGGCACTCAAAAGTTTTTGTACAGATTTAAGATCGCAATTACGAACTCTATGAATTTTTAAAAACATAAAAATCAAACTTTTTATTGAATTGATATTCAATTATTTTTTTGTGAAATTATTATAGTTTGTTGTATTAATAATTATAAAAATTTAAATTTAGAACCAATATTGCCATAATTGTAATGCGTTAAATGCGCTTGTACCTGCATTTATAGCAAGACGGAAGTTCCATTGAAGCTGTACTTAGCTCTGTTGTGGTAACAAATGTGTGAAAAAACATTTTATTAAATTTGACAAATTGTGGCGCATGGATACTTATAGACTGTCAAAGTCGATAATACATTATCTACAAGCTTTCATGATCAAATGAATATTAAGGTGGATTTATACAAAGTTTTACTGGTTTTTAACACTTGACAAATATACAGGATGTCCCAAAATTCAATGTCAAGGTAGGTTAGGTACTCTTGTCATAAATTTTAAAACTTTGCAGTGATTCGTTTTTTACCGCAATCCTAAATAGGCAAGCTATTTATCTTAGCCTCAAACAATTAACGTTGTTGGTTTAGTAAACAAAAACAAGCTTCATTGGGTCATAGTTAAAAAAATATGTTAGCTAACTTTAACTCTTCTTAATTATTATTGTATTTATTGAGTTTCACCACTATTATATTCATATGTTTTTTGTGAAATTACTCCACTAGTTTGCTATAATTCTTATTACAAAGATCGAACACTTAGAAGAAATTACTTCGATCTAGCTGGATTCGTCCCAAACTTCTTCTAGCAAACCGTGCCAGACGCTATGCTAAATATTTCACGGAACGCGACGGCGGACCTTACAAATTTCTCTATGTGTAGACCTTTGTTTTGGTTTTTTAACAACTTTTTTGCCATAGCGCCATCTGTGAGAAATCTATTTCTTCACTCAGCCAGGTACCTTTAAAGCTACCAGCAGTTAAGTAGAGATGTCACTTTACACAATAATTGTAATTAAGAATATAGTTAGGTTATTATATTCAATATTTTTTGTGAAATTACTCCACTAGTTTGTTATAATAAAATTATTAATACAAACATCTACGCTTAGAAAAAACTCCTTCGAACTGGCTGCATTCGAACCAACGTCTTCTAGCAACTCTTCATATTTAAAAAAAGTCGATTGGCGCACATATTTTTCTTAATTTTGTTACTTTAAACGATGAATTTCGATGATTATGCGGTGTTTAAAAGTATTTAGTACATAAAAATTTACACTTTAAAAATATCTTGCAAATTATTACGCAGACCAGCGATCCGAATCCAACGATGCCGCATGTGACAGGCAATGCCTGAAATCAATTAAATAGCTATGTGACAAATCAAACAAAGACATGAATATGATCATATTCCTCCTTTTGCGTTTGCTTTGGAAGGATAAAAAAATGCAATTAAAGTTATTCTTTTTTCATGATAACAAGTGACGGGACGAACAAGTCGTGCGCCTGGTGGTAAGCGACACGCCTATCCATAACAGTTGCAGCACCACTCAGAGCTTTTAGTCGCAAAGATCTTAGAGGCACTGCCACGACCGTCACCTTGAGACATAAGTTGACAAGTCCTGTATACCTGTAATTTCACAAGCACCCTTAACCTTCAACACCGAAAGACTACTGTAATAATGTTCACGTTACTGCTTGGCGGCAGAAATAGACAAAGTAGCAGTATTTCTCTGGATGTACCCTTTCACGAGAAGCCGTACGGCAAACCCGTCACCCTAAGCCAAAGTGTCCTTCTAAAAGAAAGAAAAAGGGTAATTAATTCTTATATAAAATGGGATACATTAACAAGAGTCTGATACAATTATAGTGTAGCCAGTAGCAAAGATACAATGAGTTGCTGTTGACGACAGGTGCTTGGGAGGTGGGGAACGAAGGGTGGGGTTTAGATAAAAGCTTTGCTACATTAGTTCCCATCAACTTCCAAGGCAAGTTGAGTAAGAAAAACATACGGGAGTTAAAATAAATTATCAAACAATATTACACAAGAAACGTATGAACACAATCTTTACAAATAAATACAATATTTTTGGTAACTTAGTTTAGCTAAAAAAAAGAATGAGAAAATTAATTTAGCTAAACTAAAGAATAGCGTGGATATTCTTTACTACAAATTCCGGTACTTCTCGGAACTGATTACATTTGAATAGGTAAGTGTAATACTTATTGAAATTTGAGTATATTGACTATGAATTAGTATTAAGTATTTGCTTCAAATTATTGTCCCAAAAATAATATTGTAGTTATGTTTCTATAGGTATTTACATATTTATATATTTAAGTCATTTAAAAAAAATATAAGACAACCTGTATTTATTTATTTCATTATTTTATTTAACAAAGAAGGAGAGTAGACCCCCAGGGCCCGAATTTTTTCCCGCCGGACTGCCACGCAGAGGTCCTGGGTTCGATTCCCAGGCCGGGAGAAATATGTGTATGGCCTACATTTATTTCTCTCGTGAGTGTGGGTGTAATTTGTGGTTGTCTATGTGTGTGTACATAGCACCCGCGACACAGGGTTTCCCTAGTGCGGGGCTATGTTGAGTGTGTGCGTTATAATTATTATTATTATATTTGACAATCAACGAAAATTTGACATAAGGCTAGGACTATTACATGTGACAATTACAGACGTACACAACATTCGCTATACGCTGCACTACGACAAAAACATAGATATAATCACATAATGTTTAAAAATAATTCTTGGTTAATACATTTTTTACATTAAATTGAAAAAAACCTGTATTTTGGAATAAAAAAAAATATACGCATTGATGATGTAATGGGTATGTCCATACTAAGAAAACGTTCATGCTTTTGGTAAATTAACCCCCTCGATTGCGATCACTGCTCATAAGGAAGGAAACTTTTGATTGGATATCGCTTACATTTTATTAAGTTCGTAATGAAATATTCTCCCATGTGTTTTCATCAGGAGTATGGCTCGTAAACAGTCTACAGCGAAGTTGTTGGACTTTTATTACTGCGTGAAGCGCTGCCTCTGGGATTTTTGCCGTAATTTTAAACTTCTCGTCGCATTAGCGGGATAAGGTAGTGTACACGCGAGTACCTGCTTCACTATAGTTTAATTGTTTTACCCAACAGAGTGTAGCAAAGATAGCAAATAAAACCAGTGACATAGGATCAGGTTGGGGTAAAAGGAAACCCGGGGCATCATAGGAAATCATAATAGTTTTTTCCTTTGTTTATAATATGTAAGTGACGGAACGAACCAGTCGTATCTGGTGGTCCGGAATACTTTCGCGGCCCTCTCTTTGTGGGCTGAGCATTATGTGCACTGCCACTGAGCCCGTTATCCTGAGACATAAGTTGACAAGTCCCATGTGCCTGTAATTTCACCAACACCCTTACTCTTCAAAACAGGAACGCAGTAATGCTCACGCTACTGCTTTTCGGTAGAAATAGGTAAGGTGGCAGTACTTCCCTGAACGGAATCTTTAACAAGAAGCTCTACTTCTACTAAAAGTATAAGAGTTTAGCATTATAGTCTCTCAGTCGATAAAACAGACAAACAAGTTAGTTTAAACGATTTTAAAGAGATGTCGCTAAAATTATTTGATTTCAAAAACAAGTGTAGTAAATAATGTTGTTGTAACTCAAAATATGTGAAATTCAAGATTATACTATTTCTGAACGTAAAATTTGATTATCTACACGTCAATAAAACCGTTGTTAAAATATTGTAAGAAACAATTAAAATACATCTACTTAACTCAAAATGAGACAAACTTTTGCGAACTAGTTCTGGATAAAACAATCTTAATAAATAAGTTACTAAATTTTTTTCCTTTTATTTGGCAAGTAGGGAATTCATATCGAGTTCTTAGGTTTTCGCGATTGTTACACATAGGAAATGAAACTATTTTTCCGGATTTAAATCACGTATATTTGTTTTTTCAAACAAACCGACGTTTCGGACCCTTTACGACCTGGTCGACCGTGACGATGGGACCTGTAAAGGGCCCGAAACGTCGGTTTGTTTGAAAAAACAAATATACGCGATTTAAATCCGGAAAAATAGTTTCATTTCCTAAGTAGGGAATTGTTTAGATGTCTGTAATAAATAAATTTGGCACACAAATTTTAATAATATTTCGCTGGAAGTGAGTAATTCGTTATAAAAAATACAATTTTTGAGTTAATTCACTATTGTATTAACAGAACGATGTATAAAATGTATTTTATTTCTGTACTATTCGGACTCAGTCCCTTCGAGACCACGGACGTACTTTTGTAGCAGTAGAGCTACTTGTGAAACAGTACATCCAGGGCGGCACTGCCACCTGGCCTATTTCTACCGCCAAGCGGTAATGTGAGTATTATTACATCGCTCTTTTGTTAATGTATCCCCTACATATAAGAATGCATTCATTCTTTTTTTAGAAGGATACTTTTGGCGGAGAGTGGGTCCAGGGAAGTATTGTTACTTTACCTATTTCTGACGCTAAGCAATAATGTCAGTATTACTGCCTTTCGGTTTTGAAGGTGCTGGTGAAATTACAGGCACATGAGACTTGTCCCAGGGTGAGGTGCGCAGTGTCAGTGCCCCGCAGATCTTTGTGATTTAAAGCTCTGAGTGGCACTGCAAATGTTATGGACAGCCTAGTCGCTTACCACC